CGGCTTTTAGAAAAGCCGGAAAAGAGCGTCTACACTGGCCCCGATCCTCCGGAAAAAAAAGCCCTTTTCCGGAGAATCTTATTCCTACTTCGAAGTAGGAATAAGATCCTCCGGGAAAAGGGCGCTTTTTCCGGAGGATCGGGGCCAGTGTAGACGCTCTTTTCCGGCTTTTCTAAAAGCCGGAAAAAAGCGGCGGACATTTTTATTTAAATGCCGCGGGGGATATTTAAATCCCCCGCGGATTTCCCTATTACGACCTGTGAAATTAACATGCCCCTTTCGGAAAAGGGGCCAGTGTAGACGAGCCCATCCTGGAAAAGGGCGCTTTTTCCGGAGGATCGGGGCCAGTGTAGACGCTCTTTTCCGGCTTTTCTAAAAGCCGGAAAAAAGCGGCGGACATTTTTATTTAAATGCCGCGGGGGATATTTAAATCCCCCGCGGATTTCCCTATTACGACCTGTGAAATTAACATGCCCCTTTCGGAAAAGGGGCCAGTGTAGACGAGCCCATCCTGAATTGTAACAAATTCAAATCCAGCACTGTCACTGCTGATCATGGTAGAGACCTCCACTTCGGCTGGATGTCCAGAAAGCCCCAGAATCAACCTTTAAATGTTAAGCAAAATTCCAGTATCTTCAACCACAAGTTTAGTCCCAAAAATACCATGAGATTTATAAACTAATTAGATAAACAACAGTTCCACGTAGGGCTCTGTTCTTTGCCTTTTGGGTGCATTTGGCTCACATTTTCTTCTATTACTAGACTACCACAAGGGCTAGAATCTTTTTTTTATGTAGCGCCCCCTCTCCACCTGGTTACCTTCTTTTAAGCCAATCTCCTTACAGGTTTGGATGGACAGGTTTGGGTTCTTCTGGATCCCGCCACCCACTCAACTTTATTTTTTCTGATGGATTTTTTTGGCCGTGCCTCCACCCCCCTCACTCCTTCCTAGCAGGGTTGCCAGGGCAGCTTGGGAGGAAAATTCTAGCCCAGGGTAATCTCCATGTATTTGCCAGATAGTTGGAGACTCCCAGAAAATAACACAAACACATACACTATAATAAACACAATTATATTAAACAGGAGACAATTATAACAGAACAGGGTAAAACACTATTTTTAGGGTCACTGGTGCCCAGCAACTGTAAGATCAGTGTCCCGTTGGTACACGTACTTTGGTGGGGCCCTTGATGACTGTTGACCACAAAATCCTTCTCTGTGGTGGTTTAGCAGTGGGGCTGACTAGGTCCAGTACAGCTCAAAGGACTCACACATGGGAGAAGGCAGTAAATCCCTCCACAGTTTAATATGCTGCAGGTAATAAAATCCCCAAACAAATTCCCTGACTTACTAACTAAAAATTGGTGCACTCACACACTCCATGAATGACCTCAGGTTGAGAGATGACTCAGTCTCTGCAAAGGGCCGCTCTCTTCTTGCAGGGATCCTCTTCAAGCAGGAACCAGGCTGCTTCGGTCCCAGAATTTCCCCTCACCGCGAAGGGGTGCAGGGCTCAAGATGCAGACCACACAACTGCACCAAAATTCAAAACTATAGCCTCCCAGCCCAGCATTCAGACCCACACAGCAGGCAGCAGCCCTGAACTCACTGCTAGAGCAGAGCTGACCATGCAGTGACTGGTCTCACCCAGGGAGCTGGAGACAACTCAGCCTGGCTGGGGAAGCCTCCCAGCAAACTCCACAAACTGGGAATCAACAGTGGAGACATAAAACCCAGCGGAGGGATTCTGCCTTCAGGTCCCTAGAGGCTAGCTCTCAGGGGGAACCCTGCATGCAGGCCTGGGGCTTACTAGCTCCCACACACTCAGTCCTCCCCTTTTCCTGGCTGGCTCCAGACCCCTCCAACAATGGTCTCTCCTTCCCCCGGGAGGGGCATCTCACTCCCCATGGGTTGCCGGGCAGACTCTGGCCCTGGTAGGGAGGGGGAGCCAAGGCAAACTCAGAGCCTCTCCCTGAGCTGCCAGCAGACAAGCCCCCGGAATCTAAGTCATCTCCTTGGGGGTTACATTTAGGGGAAGTTGAGACTCTAACGTGTTTACTTGATTCCAGGAGCTGGGGATTCAAGAACAACACAAACTCTTGCAAAGCTCACAAAAATGAGGAGAGCTGATAATGCTGTGGCATCCGTCATCCAGCCTAAGAAGCCCATGATTATGTAAGCGAGCAAATGGTCCTGCTATTGTGGGGAACTTTCCTGGCTTCAATGCTACCCCGGTGAAACGGACCAGCGAAAGGATCTGAGTCCCCGCTCCCACTTCTTTTATCCAAAGGACTTCCTGACCCTGAGGGCTCCCCTTCCACTCTGCTGTGTAGCAGAGTCCTCGAAATCCCAACAAGGCTGGGCCCAGGTTTTCTGTGGCTTAATCCCTGACTTTGTAGTCCCCACTATGGGGTGCTCTCTTCACACTGCATGCTTTCTTGACCCACTGATCATTACATACAGTTCAAAGCAAACACAATTTATTAAACAGCAACTGATTAAAAAGAAAAGAAGAAGGAAAAATTGAGAAAGGTTAAAAGAGAACACGTAGCCCCACTCTGTAGCACAGGGACATCACAAACAGCAGTTTGCAGAGTGTAAGGACAGTTCACGGTCTGTTCCTTATAGGTCCCAGGGCTCTCTCTCAGGCCCTGGCTGTGACATGCTCTGGCAGTGACCACACGACTTCAGGCTCTAGGTAGCAGGACCTCTCTCCCAGTTGGAGTTACAATCCCTCTCCAAGTCTGCCCTGCAGGGCCTCTTGGCTGGTGGTGTCTCCCTGCTTTGCCAGACTCCAGCTCCTTGCATTGCTCCTCTGATCCCTTTGGCTCTGGTCACTGGAGGTCTGCTTCTCAGCACAGCTTGCACTCCTTGGGCTGTGTGTGTCTGACTGTCACTGCAGGTCTGCTTCTTAGCACAGGGTCTGTGCTTTGTGGGCCGAATGGGCCTCTGGCTCTGTCACTGCAGGTCTGCTCCTCAGTACAGCCTGAACCCCTTGCTACTCTTCTTAGCTCTCTCCCCCTATCCTTTGGTATATATGGTTGTGACTACTTTCTTCCACTATTTGATCTGAGGAAGTGGGTCTGGCCCACGAAAGCTCATCACCTAATAAACCATCTTGTTAGTCTTTAAAGTGCTACATTGTCCTGCATTTCACTGGACCTCAGTGAGCGAAACATCCTCTAGTGGTGGTAGCCTGCTGTGTGCTCCACAAACTTTGTAAGAGCAAGAGGGAGACTTTTCTACCAGGATGGAGGTGAGGTGGTGGAGACTAAATAGATGGCCACGGCTGCCACCACCCAAGTATTGATACCAAAATCAGGGGAGAGATCACTTGGGAAATCTCACCCCTAAAGTACAAACCAGGACACAAAAATTAACTACTATCAGGTTAATAAAAAGAAAAGAGAAAGAACTTTTATTATCATCACAATATTCCTGTTGCAAGCATAATGACTAGATGGAACAGTAACAAAATAATATCCTCATGGAGAAACTCCACCATGGGCCCAGCACTTAGTCACAAAGGAAAGCCCAAACATTTCTTAAAAGTGCAGAGACATCAGATCCTATTTCCCAAACCATAAAACAACAAAACCTAACGGATTTATCTAAACTTTACTTACTTACAGAAAGTGGAGAAAGGTTTCTTGGAGGGAGAGACATGTCTGTTTCTCTCAGTAGCTGGAGAGGAACTGCCCAGGACAAAGGAGGGGAAAACCCAAAAATTCCTCTGCCCCAGTTTTAAATTCCTACCACATTTCTATTGGCTGCCTGCCACCTGGTTTAGGTAAGGGACATAGTTAACCCCTTAATCTCCAGGATGCTGGCTAACCCTCATGATCATGACAGACTCAGACCCAGAAAATCCCAGCACACTCAGAGGACGGGACCTGGCCTCCTAATTCCCCCATTGGCCTGTCCAACTTATCAATCAGGCTGACCTGGAGTTCAAAGCTTCTTCCCATTGTCCCTGGGGATCTGTCAGTCTCAGGGCCCTGATTTCTCATGGACCCTTCCCCTTTTGGTATTGGGAACTGGCCAACCAAAAACTCCCACTGAGTTTTAGTAAGGGGCTAACAGTCCCCTTACACTTACCTAGGGTGAGCAGCTCCGGTGCATGGTGTACACTGAGAACAGAACGAGTGATCCTGGGGCACCTTAGAGACTAAGCAAAATACATAGAATCACGAGCCTTTGTAGGAAAACCCACCTCCTCAGATGAAATGGAGTGGAAATAACAAGAGAGATGTAATAGCAGCAGAAGTACCTGTCGCGGGACCACTCGTTTTTAAAGTTACAGACTAATACGGCCACTCAAGTGAGATGAGACTTCATTCTCAGGAATGGCCCTGGCCAGCCATCAGTGGCCAGCAATTGGTACTTACCCCAGTGCAACACCAGCTAGACCAGGGCAAGCATGGTTTGTACTGAGCAAGCTATCCACAGATGACCCTAGCTGGTGCCACCCTTAAATGCCTTCCTCTTCACACAGGGCTCAGCACTGATTCAAGCAACATGGAGTGCTGGCTGCTGCTGACAGCTACCGGGCTGCCTCTGTATGGAAAAGGCCAAATCCTGGTGGCTGGCCCTGGGTGCAAGAAGAAACCCTTGGTGTAGCAAAGCCAGGTCATAGAAAAGACACAGCTAAGCAGGCTGTAAAATCTGCTCTCAAGCAGCCTGTAGGCTGATGTGGGTAAGACCAGGCCTGCTGGTACATCATTGGTGGTATCACTGGTGTAGAAAACCTACTCTGCTAAAACCCTCCCTTGCACAGATCCAGTCCTGGGCTACCCTAGACTTTTCCCCTTCAAATTTCCCTCTGGAGTAGCTCCACTGATAACCCTATGGCAGTGGTTTTCAAACTTCTTTTTTTTGGGGGGGGGTGACCCAATTGAAGAAAATTGCTGATGCCTGAGACTCAGTGGAGCTGGGAATAAGGGCTTTGGGGTACAGGAGGGGGTTTAGGGATGGGGCAGAGGGCTGGGATGCAGGGGTGAGGTGGGTGCAGGGGTGAAGGGTGGGGTGGTGCTCGGACAAGGGGTTCACAGTGCAGGAGGGTCCCTGTGCTGGGGTAAGGGTTGGGGGTGCAGGATGGGATCAGGGCTGGTGATGCAGGCTCTGAAATGGAGCTGTGGAAGAGGGATTTAGGGTGCAGAAGTCTCCAGGTTTGGGGAGGAGCAGGGCTGGGGCAGGGGATTGGGGCACAGAGCTGGGGCATTGGCTTACCTCCCATGGCTTCTCAGCAGCAGGGGTGCGAAGGCAGCTTCCTGCCTGTCTTGGCACCATGGATCACGCTGTGCCCCAGAAGCATCCAGTGCAGGTCCGGTTCCTAGGGGGAAGTGTACAAGCAGCTACACACGGCTCTCACCTGCAGGCACTGACCCTCCCCAGCTCCCATTGGGAGTGTGGAGCCAGTGTTCAGGGCAGGGGCAGTGGGAAGCCCTGTGCCCCTGCTGCCTAAGAGCCAGACCTGCTGCTGGCCACTTCCTGGGCGCAGCACGGTGTCTGGGATCAGCCAGGGAGTTCAGAGTGTGGGTTGTGACCCAGCCTTCACTGGCCACCAGGGCCCAGCTGAGCAAGGTGATCCAGAGCCTTACGCCCTGCAACCCACTACTGGTTACCACCCATGGCCCTATGGGGAACCCTCATGGTCACAGCGTAGGCACTGATCCCACGGGAGCTGTGAGGAGGGGCCCAGGTCTGGCAGGTTTCCCAGGATTCCCTTTACCCTTCTAAAGGAAGGAGCCAAAGCCCTGCTAGCCGGAGGAGCCAGGCTGTTACACCTGCCCTGGAGACACAACCAGGCTTCTGCTCTTCCAGCATCGCATGAGCCTGTTGATCTGGATTTTGATGTGACCCTAGTCTCTGCGTGACAGCTTTGGCTTCCACCGCTTTGTCACTCTGAACGCTGCATTCACCAGATTGGGCAAGAGGGCAGCTTTCTGGTATGTGCTGGACACCGCTGGTAACAGTCCTGCGGCACCGTGTGTCTGAACACCACCAGGGCGTACTTGGCAATGTCGCCCTGGGCCTCCTCAAAGAACCTCCTGTCCTCCTGGGGGGAGATGCGCTGGAGGGAGCTGAGGGGGCAGGGACTGACCCTCAGAAGAGATGGAGCTTCTCTTGAGTCTGCAGCCTCTGGGCAGCCTTCTAGACAATTGCTGACAGACCCCTCATATTCCACAGGCCTCGTGTCAGCTATCGCTGCCAGCGGCTGGATTTCCTCCACCTCTGGACTCAGGACTGGGCCTGTGGGGCAGGCAGCCACACCTGGAAGCAGGTCTGGCTGGAGAGCAGCCAGTGTGGACTCCATTGTGAAGATTTTCTTTGCCAAATCCTGAACACGCACCCCTAGGCTCAGCTTCTCTCTTGTCACTTGCAGCAGCGCCGGGGTCAGAAGGCCTATGGTCTTTTTCCCACATGGCAGTGATGGTTTGAAGAAGATGCCTGCGGAAATTCCTCTATTGTGGGCAAATCCTTCCAATGGGTTCCACTCTCAGCAACTGAAACACATGTAAATAATGTACCAGCTTAGCAGACTGGCTGTGTGAAGCCATGATATACCCCATGTTCAGTGCATTTAGGGCTCTAAAGCTGTGTCTACGCTACAGGGTTAGTTCTATGGCCCCAATTTAAACTATCTGAGTAAATTAACATGTTTAAATGTTTGCTCTTTCTGAACAGTGGCTCTGGTCAATTTGGGTATTTTGTAAATCAATTTCATATCACTAGCATATAGCCCCAATTAACTTTTCCAATCTAACAACAATCCTTTCAAATAAGGAGAATACTTACTTTTTTAAAACACACACACACGAAAATAAACATAGAAATGTTGCCAGCTTTGTCCACATATTCATTCTGCTGATACCATTATTGGACCTAACTAAGTGAGTTATAAGATCAAAAACACATATTCCTGCTCATCCAGAAATATAATTTATGCTATCATGTGCCGAAAGTGTCCATCTGCTATGTACATTGGAATAACGACTCAGACACTTCACCAAAGGATCAATGCCCACAAAACAGATATTAGATAGGATCACAAAGAAAAAACAGTTTCTTGCCATTTCAACCAGAAAGGACATTGTCTCAATGACTTGATTGCCTGCATCCTGCTTCAAAGGCCTTTTAAGACTACACTTGAAAGAGAATCCTTCCAGATCACC